TTTACAAGTATGAATCAACACCCTTCAAAACTAAATGTGATAAATGATATCAACTATTTGTATGTTTTACACTGTCAATAACTTACATTCAAAGGAAGTTCAAACTTTTAAATTGTCAGTAATATAAGACATGTGCAATAGGCACCTTTTGTGTAACTATTGATGTCACAAAGCAATATCACTTTTGGGGCACTTTGACCCCTGCCCAAAATATCTGATAATAAATCATAGGCTATTTAAATATAGTATTCCTTATGAAAAATATATGCATTGACAAACTTGTAAAAATTAAGGTAGACAGTATGTGTACATTTTGCTCTGCTAGGCATAGAATGCCTGCATGACTTCTATTTTTTTTTTTTTTTTTTTTTTTTAATTTTTTTTTTTTGAACAGTGGATTTTTTTGGAGCACTTCTCAAAACAATGCATTGTTTTAATTGTTACATAACCCACAGGCAAAGTGTGTTGTGATGACAATCTAGCTAATCGAAAGGTGGCAATTAACAGTTTGCAGTGTACATTAATTAGTGTACCTCATTCGTGATTTTGAAAAAAAGAAAGAAAGATATTTGTAAGTTTTTTAAAATAATTCTTTAAAATAAAATCTTATAAAAGTTTGAAAACTTAAATGTAAGGTAAGTGTACTTTCAATAGATTATAAAGTGTATTCAAATTCATATTATATAACTTATTAAGAAATCTACACAGAAAGCAAATATACCGTTAACGCTTACTAATGATTCCATAATTTATCAGAACCTTGGCCAGTGTAAATGTGCATTTTTATGGAACAAACTGTCACAAAATGTTCGAAATTCTAGGTCAGTGGATATTTTTAAATCTGTGTATCTCGCTGAGTATTTTAACAGACTTAATACTTAAAATGGATTTTTCCCCAATGTCTAAGTGTATAAAAGATATGCTTCTTCATGTTTATATATGTATGTGTTGTATTTTTAGATCTTGTGTTTATATTAAGATGTTAATTTTGTATATCCTTATGTGATTGTAAATATGTTTTAATGCAGGACCACAATGAAAACTAGCTTTATGCTAATTGTGTTATCCTGGATAAATAAAGGTTATTATTATTGTACTGGAATTCGATCCACAATTTAGCTTGTTGGAGAAGGGGAAGTGACTCAGTAGAAGAATCTTTGTGGTCTCTAAGGACACGCAAAATAGCAATTTAAAATAGTAATTTCCATTCTTGTTTTGTTGAATAATCTGTTTACATACTTAGAACACAAAAGATGTATTGCCTGAGTGCTTTGGTCAAATAAAATTAATGCTTCTTTATACTCTACAGTATTCTACACGTGCAGACGAAATTTTAAATTGTCGGGATCGGTGTTCCATTCACTTAATGAAACCGAAAGTAGGGGTCACGCCTACCTTTGCAGTTTTAGTTTTATATCGATTAATAAGGTAGGTTACAAATGATATGACGTATCGCTAGCTGATTCAGTATTATTGAGTAGGTGCATGCGTAAAAGAGGGAGGGTAGGCTACACTTTTTAAAAGGAGATTTGGGTTTTGATTATTGGGGATGCTTTTCAACATCAGCTACTCTTACTAAAATAATGTTTATAGATATACTTACATGTAATCTATTTCAAATTATGTAATTTAATGTGGTTCATCTCTAGATGCCTAAAGTTGCTATGTATAGGTTATTGGATCTCTTCAGTGTACAGTGTTTTGAGCTACCTTCAGCTAAAATTAAGGGGGATGTACGGCCACCTTTAGTGCTGTGAGAACAAAATGTAAACATTTCTTCAAATGGCTAAAATACATCATATTTTGATCAAATTTTAAGTCCTTATGATACAGATACAATAAATATTCATAACTGAATGCATGTTGTGCATATATAATGTATACTTTTGCAGAAAAATGCTTTTGATATGCTCCTTAGAACTGCGCAGCTACAGAATTCAGCAGAGCCTTAAAAAATCCAAAAAAATATGCAAACTGTGCATCAATGTTCTCTCTACAACCATTTGTTGAGAAAATGTCTAAATTTTGCACTTTTAAATGATAATTTCAAGTTCAAAACAAGGTATCGTTGTCTTCAAAAAGAGTGTAAAGAACCATGAAAGTAGTTCATGGATAGCAGCACGTGGTTTATTTTTAGCACAGAATTTTGTTTTCCAGACCTCTTCTTAATATGGAGGGACATAACAATCTTTAAATGTAGAAGAGAATTACAGTTGCCAAATATTTCAAATAGTATGAACACTTTTAAAAGAGGAAATGTGTTATAGTATGGCTTAAAGTAATTTATTTAGTATTATTATCGAACAGTTGTTAAATGATGTACTTATTGATATCAAAGAAAAAAATCTTAAACTCTTTGATTCCAGGTAAGGAAAAATGAGCACCATCAAAGTTAAGAATTAAGAGTTTGTAAGTTTGCCACAGATAACTTATAATATATATCAAAATTTTAATTATCACCAATGAAACAAAGAAATTAAACACATAAAATCGATATGAATGACCTACTAGTACGAGGGGTGATCAAAAAGTTCGAAACTATCTCTATTAGTATATCTACAAAACCACAATTCAGATTAGAAACAAATTTGGTGCACACATAGCCAAACACAAGTTCTATAAAATAGCACATGCTGAATAAAGTTTTGCCCATAATGACGTCATTATGCAGGTTCTTGTGACGAAAAATGGTTGCCTCAGTGGAACTCGTTTAACAAACGACTAAAATATTTATGGTATATCTTAAAAATGCCTTTGAAGTAGCATATAAGAATTTGTTCATAGTTTATTAAGACAAATGACTTCCTACAAATTCAATCAATGATTGGATAGATCGTTTTAGTGAAGGAAGGCAGATGGTTAAATATGATACTTTTTATATTGCCCAGTGATATATTAGAAAGTTTGAAAAGGGATGTGTTTTTGATTAAGCAATATGCTATCAAAGACCTCCAATTTACACTTTGAAAAATACTTGAATATTTCAACGATAATATAACTATCAAATACCTAAGATATATCGTTTACTTTTTGATCTACCCTCGTATACTCTGTCAAATAAACATTTACAATTTTGATTTTAGCGGAGCAACATTTGAAAAGAAATGAAATCATTCAGAGTGGGTTAGGAGATTTAATGAATAAAAAAACTTTTTCTATTTGCCCTTTTTGTCAAAATTACAATTTTACAGAGTAAAGGAAAAAAATCAACATTAATAAACATTTTATACCATCTTTAAAATGATGTTTGGTGGTCCTCCCAACTCAGGGAAAAATTATTGGGTCCGTATTTATAGGTGAGAAAAAAAAATTCCCAAAATTTTAAACATATTCGTTGTCGGAAGAAAAAAAAAGAACATGTAATAGGATGTAAAAAAAATTGAGTCGGGCCATTTCTAGGCAGTAGATCGGGAGAGAGGGCAACCAAATATTTTTATAACAAATTGTCTTATAAGGCTAGTACATGTTCCATCACATACTTAGTAATGCAAAATTTTTGAATCTTTGGCACTATTTTGAAAAACAAACATAGGATTTTTTTGGGGGGTGGGGTGGGGGTGGGGGGTAGCCTCTCATTTTTTTTGTGTGATAGACACAGCATATGCAATGGACTTTTCTTTGCAAACATTGTGCTTGCTTCTAAATTTCAAAGAAACAACTCAATATATTTTATCAAGCTTCGTATGTTCAATGAGCGAGAGCTTACAATGTTGTCAACATAATGAGACATGATGCATTTTTATGTCCAAACATTACTCCATACAATGTGTGGTTCATTGCAAACAATCTAGCTATTTATGTGAGGTGCCTGAAGGAAATCCTATAACTGCCTATTTTTTCTATCTAACTGCTAAACAAAATAGACACATGTACCAACTTTTCGAATGTAAGACATGTAATTACAATTTGTTTTTCATGCACCACATATTGTTAAACATTTTCAAATTAAATGTTAAGCATCCTCCTTGCAGTGCCCCATTTGAAAATAACTTCTATCGCCATAGAAAAAAGACCCGCCGTAATCACATATGTTTAGGACATGTTTTATCTTTTTTCTTGAGTTTTAAAGAAACCAACAAATCATCAAGACTTGTTCCATGAAAAATTAGATATAATCATGGTAATAAACGCATCTATCCACAGCAGATATATGCACATGCCAACCACGTGCTCAGTGGAATGATATTATCGAGGAAACTCGAGCTGTAAACAGAACAGATTTTCCCGATTTGCTGGAGTGGGGTTAAAATCGCTTTTTTTCATTAATCAGACGATGCAATGCAACAAATAAAAGTAGTGAGTAATATAACCTAATGATTATTACTTAGTAATTTCTTGTCTTGATGTTATTATGGTCACATTTATTCTAAAACCAATGCTATTCGAACTCTGTGTGACAGAGGAATGGCGGACGAAATAAACACATGGTCTCAGGAAGACACCCATATGAAAATTCAAATTTTCAAGAATTATGGATAATGACAAGAAAAAAGCGAAACAAATGGTTGTAGCCATATTATCAATGAATCAAACTAACACTATATTCAATGCATTTTTCATCTCGTGAATGCTGTAGCTGCGCAGTTCTAACATGATTAATTTCCTCCTAATTAAAGCAAAATAAACTTAATTATTAACTGATTTTGGTCTCTAACAGTAGGTAATTAGTGCATTAGCACTTTGAGTAACTTTGGGCTAGTTTAGTAGAGTATTAAGCGCATTCTTGGTATTTCTTATTTTACACCAGACTAGATCCAATATGACTTGTACATCCCCCTTAAGATATTTTATTTCACTAGATCTGCAAAATTAGTAATTTATCAATTATTCTGAAGAAATGAGAATTCAGTACATAAAAAAAGCAGTTTTTGTGGCATCATTAAATCTCTCATGTCAAGTCATGGATATTGTATTCATTCTATTTCTTGACACTATATTTGTGGAAATAGAATGAAAAAGAAACTTCTCTCTCTCTTCATAGCATGAAAACTGCACTGCAACAAGTTTCTTTACATGCCTTTTAGATGGATACTCAAAGACCTCTCCACGTAGTAACTCCTACCATTCACAGCACTCCGTTGTCAAAATGTGTTGGGTTTCCAGTTTATCTCAAACTAGAGAATCTCCAAGTTCCAGGAAGTTTCAAGATCAGGGGAATAGGCAATCTTTGTCAGAAGGTCAGGATTGATTATTTATTCAGTGATATTATTACTGCAATAATAAAAGATTTGAGTGAATCTTTGTTGAGTCTGTATAAGCTGTTCCTTTTTTTCTCTACAGGCAGCACAGAAGGGATGCAAAAGAGTTGTTTGTGCCTCAGGGGGAAATGGGGGTCTGGCAGCAGCCTATGCCGCTAGACTCCTTAAACTTCCTGCTACCATTGTTCTTCCTACAACTACTCCTGCATTTGTGGCAGAAAAACTCAGAGACCAGGTAGCACTTTATTCTCCATACCCTTTCCCCCAACCTTCAACCAAACCAGCCAACAAAAATTGAAAAAAATCAACAAAATTAAAAAAAAATAGGTCCAGTTGGAAATAAATGTAATTTATCATCTGTCACTTTGTCTATCAGTCAACATAAAGTTTATATCTATGAAGCATATATGTTTACAATGTTCTCAGTATTTACATCTTTATGCTGGTTGTGTTTATACTTTCTTTTTCTTAGTTTGATATGAAAAATATTTTCCCATTAAATGTATATAGGATGCAACCGTTGAGATCCATGGTAGTGTTTGGGATGAAGCTAATCAGTTTGCTCTTAAAATTGCACAAGATCCAGGTATTTTTTCTTTGTTTTCTGTTGACTTAAATTAAAATAATTTAAAAATGAAACCATCATTGAAGCGCTTTCTTTAAAAGTTTGTCATCTTTCAATATACAAATACAACTCTTTTTCTAGATTGTTTGTATGTCCATCCTTTTGATCACCCAGATGTTTGGTAAGATTGTATTTAATAGAATTATTCTATACTTTGAGTGTTTTACATGTAGCATTTTGACATGGAAAAACATGGCTTCTAAAGATGCATGTGCCTTTTGTATCTGTATTTTTTCCTCTCATTTGGTTATTCAGGACCAGGAGTACTGTACTGTCTCTCATCCATCTGTCTGATTTTCTGTTTGCCCATAATCAATTTTTTAAAAAATCCTACTCATTCATCATATTTTAGCTTTTTCTTTAAAATTTAGAACACAACTGGATTCCATAAATTTTATTTATCATTTTTTGATTTTTAATGTTTTTGTTGTTATTCAAAAGGCTTTCTCTGAATATCAGGATACATAATTCTGAAACTGAAAAGAAAGAGTTTTAAAGTCCAGACACTAAAACTTTTCTCTTTCAAAGAAACCAGTTGAGCTACAGTCTCAACAGACACTGCTGGTTTCTGTACAGGTGAACTTAAAAACATTCGTTTGTCATTTAATATTTGCATTTTTTTAATTTGTAAATTGTGATAAGGAACATTACACTTTGGAGAATTTTAGACTTAAATTAGACACAAAGTGTAATTTTTGAAAGTGGGAAGGATATGATCTGAAAACAATCAATGTAACTGGAAAAAATTGACAACCAAAAAAATAAATTGAAATAAAAAATTCAAATGGGAAAATCCAATTGTGTATGTGTTTGTGTGTATGCATGTGGGGGTGGGTTGCATTTTATACCATAGCAACTGAATATCATGTTGTTACTTTTACAGGGAGGGACATGAGTCACTGGTTGTAGAGGCCAAAGAACAGCTGCCGTCCCCTCCTGATGTAGTGGTGGCCTCAGTCGGAGGTGGGGGCTTACTGTGTGGAGTCATACAGGGTATGGAGAAGGTAGGCTGGGGTCACATCCCAGTGGTTTCTATGGAGACTGTAGGGGCAGATTGTCTGAATGTGTCCTTGAGAGAGGACAAGATCACCACCATTCCAGCCATCACAAGGTTTCCTATTTTCTGTTTGTTTTTTGTTGTTGTTTTTTTTAGCCGAATTATATGATAATTACTTTCTTATAAGACACAACATCAATGCTGTAAAACTGTCTTCTATAACAATGCTTTATGATTTAACAGTGTTGCCAAATGCCTTGGTGCTCTCACACCTTGTACTCAGATATTTGATCTGTGTAAAAAATACTCAGTGATATCCCAGCTCTGTACAGACAAACAGGCTATAGATGCATGTCTGAAGTATGCCGGTAAGATATTTTGTTTTTAATATTAAGTTCTTTTGCTCAGATATTTCTTGTAGGAAAGAGAAGGAATTTAAACATAAGAGGTGTGTAACAATAATAGATACACTATTCAAAAGTATCAAATATCTCTATGGCTATATATTTACTTCCACATTCAAATGACTACTGTTTTCTTAATATTGACCTTTTGAATTTACAAACAAAAACACTGCACAAAAATACATGCAATAGAAGGCTGGTAGATCCTTATAAAATAGTGTTAAAATATTACAGATGATCATCGACAGTTAGTGGAGCCTGCTTGTGGTGCAAGTTTAGCAGCTGTGTACAGTGGCATACTGAAGGACCTTCAAACTCGGGGAAAACTGGGTCAAGTTAAATCTGCTTTGATTGTTGTTTGTGGTGGAAGTGGAGTTACACTTGATGCCCTAAATAAGTGGAAAATGGAATTTGAACTCTGATTATTTAAAATTGGGTCCATTTAGTATTAGAACATATATACAAGTCTTGCCTCAAATCCTGTGATATTCCAGTTTTGTTTTTAAGTGAGGGTTTTATCATTTATTTTCTGAGGGCAGCTTGCTGTTATTGTTGTTTATTTTTTTAGTGGTGATTTTTTATGTTTAATGTGTGGGTTTGAAATGTGATTGATCTCTGTATTCCAATTTGGGAATCATTTTTAAACATGTTTATTTTTGAATAAACTGTATAAAGAATGGAAACCTTATTTGTTCATTTGTATGGCAGTTGATAAAGTTTCTTTTTAATATTACTTGTACATATTTTAAACAAGTTGTGTAAAAGATGTCAGATATTGGGTAAAATGTGCAAAAAGGAGCATTCAGGAAAATGAATTATATCCAGCAGAGATATCTCTGGAATTCTCCCCCCCCCCCAGGCAGAGTGTATGTAGCTCTCTTGATTCTCTCAAGTATTTCACATGATTCATATCTAAAGTTACTTTTGTGTTTTGAGTCTAGAAATTTGTGTTCTGTACATTTATTATTGCAATATTGTTATTACATGTATATTCTATTGCAATTCTCACATTTTGGCTTTCTATTGTATAAATGCATGTACATTATTTGTATTCCATGGGTATTAATATATTTCATAATTTTAGTTTTTCAAGGTCATAAAAACTAAGAATATTACAAATCTTTGAATAGGGCATAAATACGTCCTCCCGGGAATTTCAAAGGTGGGATCAGGTGCATAGACTGAGGAAGCAAACTAAAATTAATTTTTTTTTATAATGTCTGAGTCATTCCTACCTTGTCTTAATGCACGTATAGTTGAACCAAGTTACAGGTCTGTTCACTTTATGTTATCTTTGGTTTTAAGTACAGCTATTTATAAGAACCAGGCAGAAATGAAAATAAGTGATTCATGATATTGATAGATTTTTCAAAAACTATCATATTTACATTAAGATACATCAAACTAAATACTTGATCACAGTTATAAATGGATTTCATGCATAGTTGATTAAAAAATGAATTCAATATATACTGAAACAGTCAACAATATCCATTGAAAGGTGTCTGTACGTGCAGGTGATTTTTTAAGAAGGCCCGCACTCTCCTTGAATGTGAATTATAAAATATTGAACATCTAGTATCAAAGAGTAAAAAACAATTAAAAAACCCATGGGTTATTTTAATTACGAATAGATATTGTGATTTTAAATTATGTAAAAACATGACATTCTAGTTATCTCCCTTGGCACTCTTTAGTAAAAGGAGTTGGAAAGAGTGTATTTAACTCTTCACTTTAGAAGGTGAGGATTAAGAAATGTGTGTGATTTCATCTTCATTTTGGAAGTTTTGCCGGTTTTCATACATCCAAGGGGCATGTAAGTCAAAAATGTTTATTAGAAAAATAATATGTTTTACGGTGTGACCGTTGGGGCGAGCGCAGTTTTACCATAAAAAAAAAATTGAAATGTGTGTGATTTCATCTTCATTTTGGAAGTTTTGCTGATATATGGTTTATATACATCCAAGGGGCATGTAAGTCAAAAATGTTTATTAGAAAAATATAAGCCTATGATAAAAAAAATAACTGCCTGCAATTTGCTTAATTTTATCTGACAAAAACAAAATTTTATTTCCTAGACATGCTAAATGAGAACAGAGTTTGAGTGTTTTGAAAAAGGCTATCTTGTTTAACAGTAACATCAAAACTACTTAAATTCAGTTAATTTTGGGAAAAACATTTAATTTTGTACTGGAATTTGAACAGTAGCTCGCTGCTGGGGATTACAGTATGTTGAGTATCTCTCCTTTCCGTCGATACTCCCTTAGTGCTGCAATATACACAGTCGATTGGAAGAAGTCCTCGACCTCAGCATGCATGAAGTCATAGCAAGAAGCAGTGAAAGCCATGGCAGAGATTGGATGGAGCATAATTTTTTCTATGTCTCGGCGCCTCTATGGATGTCATATTTAGATCAGGTATTTTATAATACATAACACAGACTATTGACACTATTGACTATTTTTTTTCAAATTGAAAAAGGGGAAAGTCAAGAAAAATTGACAGCAAACATACAGGCTGACTGCTAGTAAAAGTTATCAGTCCTGCTAAAAATCTACCAGCCTGAGAAAATAATTGTCTTTTGTAAAATTGATTTTTGAAACTAGAGGTACTGTGAGCAATGCGCAAATGATACCCCCCCCCCCCCCGCCTTCCATATGAATATAATAGTGTCCATTTTTTGCTGTAGGAAAGTATTATATTAATAATGCCATACTTTCGTACAATACCACTATTTTTTTGCCTAATTTTATACTCTTAAACACACGAAATCCAGGAGCTTCTGGGGCTTTGCCCCCTGGACCCCCTTCATTCAAACTATGGTATGACTAACAAATGACTGTACTTTGGAACATCACTATCAAGACCGCTTGCCTGAATAAAGTAATCCATGTCCCCCCCACTCTTCCCCCCTTTTAATCACAAATCCTGTACTGCTTATGATACCATTAGTTGATTCGGAAGCGATTAATCAAATTAATAAATTTGAATTAATGAAAACTTTAAACAAGTCCAGCTGGGCATCGATATGAGCAAATTGGTAAGCCCACAGCAAAATTTATGCGTCTCGGGCAGTCAGACGCACTGTTATTTCAAAAACTGTTTTCGGAATGGGCAATGGGTCCTTCTTAAAATCGTGAATGTTTAATTAAGCCCTGAAAAAAAACAGATGTTATGGCAAAACCATATGAATATTTTTCTTATTCATTTAATCAAAATGTAAAATTGTGCCCTTTCAAACTCTATATTTCCAAACAAATGTGTGTATGATATTCTTCAAATGCATTTCCTTTTATTTGAATTATAAATAAGGGTGGGGAGTCTTACAAAATTTAATTGACAAGCAAAACAACCAATAAAATACTGTTATTGTTTTATCAGTTGACTTTAAAAAGGGAAGGGGTCTTTGGAAATTTAACAACTCCCTACTTAGTGATAAGCAATACTTTGAACGTATCAGAGATGTTATCTCAAATGTGGAAAAGCAATACGCACTTCCTGTTTATGATCATGATAATCTTGATACCATTCTAGATGAAGACATCTATTTTACCATTGATGATCAATTATTTCTAGAAACGCTACTTATGGAAATAAAGATAAAAAAGTTAATTTGTGCAGATAAAGTAATATAAGCTTATGATAATGAAATACGTTTAAGTAATTTATCAATGTAAGCATAATAAATGGTGAAATATATTTGTACCAGCAGAATACAAATAATGTATAGAAAAATTAAACAATAAAAAGCCAACATGTAAAAATGGCAATAGAATTCACTTGCTTTGCAATAATATATATGCATCGTACAGAAACCAGTTGCAAAGAGAGAGTTGACAACAAACTCCACATTGTAAGAAGTAAAGGTTTCAAAAACAGTCCCTTACCAAAGTAAAATGTTTGCAGCAATATTGCCGCTATTTTGTGGCAACATTGCAGCAACACATTTTTGTCACCAAAAACAAGCTTTTTGGGTTAGTGAAATATCACCGCTAGCTGCAACAACTTATGGTAATATTCTGGCAATACTGCCAGAAAAAACTTTCTGGCAACATCTTGGATAAAAAAATACCCATTAGGCATTTGTTGAGCATGCTCAGTCATTTACTTCCTCTTTTTAAATAAAATTGAAGGGAATTTAAAAGGAAGCATGTTTTGCTACAGTATTGACTTGTATCAAGGGGAGGTCAACATTACCGGTACATTGCCAAAAATTTCAACTCATTACCTCTACATTTTTTCAGATTTTCGACCAAATTGCATTTGTAAATACAGTAAAACTCGTTAATTGCGAACACGGATATAGCGAATTCACGGATATAGCGAAGTTTTTCTGGGTACCCGGCAAAATTCTTAACAAATCTTTGTAAAATTTTATGGTTATAACGAACTCTGATATAACGAATTTACGGATATAGCGAACTGATTTTGAGTCCCGTTGAGGTTAAATATAATGAAATTTACATCTTTTATAACGAACTATCAAAGATTATAAAAAAAAAAATTGATAAATTTAACTGACTATATTTCTGTTTAGAATTTGTATATAAAATCCAATTCATAATATAACCTTAGTTTTCAAAGATATGTTTTTTAATATTTGCTTTCCTAACATATTTGGTAGTAATAACTGAAGGAAAACATGCATATTGCGAATTCGCTATAATGGTTATACGAATTCGTTATACGGATATAACGAATTACGGATATAGCGAATTGAATTTACACGTCCCCAGAACTTCGCTATAACCGAGTTTTACTGTAGTGTAAAATAAGATTAGACAAGATGAGTCATAAGATTGAGTAATGTGGAATGGCCAGAAAAAAGAATTTAAGCGGTTTCCATGGCATGGCCTTTTAAAAGAATTATAGGAATGTCTACTCTGTTTTCATGGTCGTATTTCAGACTTGATTGGTAAGTCAAAACGTTAATACTTTTAGGATGAATGATTCTATGGAGATAAAATAGGAAAAATTCTACGTATTTCAACTAGTGCTTGTGATGCATGTATACTAGACATGTATGTCTTTATAATCCTCGTGTTGCAGGAAAAGATGAATGCATGTTATCAATTGCATGAACATAATAATTAACTGATTGCATAAAATTGAATACCTGAAAGAAAATTGAATCTATATATGTTGGAAATATATTTGTGTCATTTGAAAGTACTTAATTTGTGGAGTATGCATACTAAATATAAGTCTCTGTCTCTTACGGATCAAAATTTATGGCAGGGGTTAAAAAGGCTATTTTTAGCATATAGCACAGTTAAGGTCACAAGATCATTGACCTTGGTGTCATTTGAAAGAGCTTAATTAGTGGAAGAAACATTATTAATATGCCACTGTGAAAATATCCAGCAACTCAGCATTAATTTTCAAATAACCTTAATTAGCTGCCCATCACATATTCCCAAATGCCATTCACTATAATGTATAATATAGCTTGTTTGTAATTTCAAACATATATATATAATATTGTTTCTATTCACATTTTTTTATGCGCCCAGATTGATAGATCGGGGGCGCATATTGTTTTTGTCCTGTTTGTCTGTTTGTTTGTAAACTTTAATCTTCGCCATAACTTTTGAGCCAATGAGAGATAGAGACCTCATACTTGGTATGCGTTCTCCACTAATTAAGCTTTTTCAAATGACACCAAGGTCAATGACCTTGTGACC